GCCTACTAGCGATGGCCTCCAACCTAGTAGCGATGGCCTCCCACCTACTACTGATGGCCAACTCTGTCTGAAATTGTCTAACGTATGTCATCTGAGGCCCGAGCCTGAGCTCAAGGCGAAAGCGACCCGTGGCTGAAGCGCTGGGGAGCGGCGAATCTGCAAATGTTGTCATAGATACCAGGCATATCGAGATGTTTTCGGGATGATGCCGGGATGTTTGGGGGCTATGTAGCGAATTTGTGCAAATGTTAGCCAGTGCTTGGATCCCGTTGACGATAGTTGACAGTGTCATGATCTTGAAGTCGCTAGCTCCACGCGCCGTGTACAATCGAAAATCTGCCCACGTGTCGTGCACATTCGTGCAGTTTGGGGCTTAAGGATGTCAAGAACGCGTCCACTGAACACCAGTAAAGGCCGTCATGTCCCACTGCAAATCCATGTGCATTCCGCAGCCAGCCTAGAATCTTGTCTTGGGCAACCGGACTCTTTTGCAAGAACGGTGAAGGTGTTTCATGCTGTAGGGTGGAGGCCATCGTTATTAGGTTGGAGGCCATCGCTATTAGGTTCCTTTTGCTATGAGGTGTGACATCGTTGGAGGTATGTGCAGTCTGCTTAAAGGTGGGCATGACGTCAAATTCACTGCAGTCTTTCAGCGGGCAGAAATGCCACCACCACGATCCTCAGCTTCTGTAGAAATGGTTTGACTGAGCGGCTCAGAAGCGGATTCCAGGAGCATGGACCTCAACATTCTTGTTTTGTGAGAGGAAAACTGTATCATCTACAGTTGCTATCCAGTTGCTATGCAGTTGCTGCAGAACAGCGCTTCATTTCACTTGATCATACCTGAAATCAGTGCAAAGGTCATGCAAAATAGACTCACAAAATGGTCTTGCAAAGAAATGCAAGGACAGCGTTCTTCCAGAAATTAGTGCATCAATATCCTCCAAGCTGCACAATGTTGGCCACTATGAACCTTGCCAATGCGAGGTGCACATGCCATGCAGTATGGAACACTACGGTCTTTGGAGAGAATTGCAAGAAAGCTGCATCACCCACAGCGAAAAGCATAGGAGACTATCTCTCCTGGCGCTCACTAGTCGCTCTTACCCACAGAGTACCGGTGGCCTTGATTCTACGTCTTGGTCTTGAATGAACTGTGTAATCAATGCAATTTAGCATCACGTGTTAAACATGTTTTTTGTATATACATACTTTTACAAAACGTCGGAGAACACAAAGGTCACTACACTAAGGCTCACTAAGGCTCACTCCAACAAGCACACCATCTGTTTCAAGAAATCAAAAACAAGTTCTTTCCGTTTTCGAAAGCTCTCCTCTGGGCTGATTTGGGACCGCCCAACTCTCCGCCGTAGACCCGACGTCGGGTAAAGAGCCTTGGAGGTGGCGAAACCAGAAACGACTGCTTAGACCGAAACGCTGCGGTATCCAAACCTCAAAGATACAATACATATATATATTGATCAATCCCTGTAAGTGATAAAACGTTAAGGTTTTGCTGGTTTTACCCCCTGGCAAGACCTCCGGCAGGGTTTGAGGAAAAAATGTATAAAATTATTGCCAATTCTGAAAAGAACTATGCTTTTATGATAACGTCTATGATGAGTCGCCTTTTGGGCGATAAAATATTGCGTTCATGATGTTTTAGGGCTTTAGAAAAGCTTGAAAAGTCACTCAGCCAAATGGTAGGGGGTTGTTCTTTTCCTCCCTGCAGTGCTATCCGAAGACACAGCTTGACACTCTCTTGTGGAGGCCAGTGGCCAATCTCATTCCGTCAAAATAGATGAACGTCGATGAAATGGTGGTGTAAATTCCAAATCATCCAGGTTCATACCCTGGCCGCCCTGGCCCATATCATTTTCACGACTCCATGATCGTGTACGATCCTTTTTGCGCACACGAACCATACGAGTGTGGTTTCCATTTGGGCTAGGCATTCCCCAATCGGACGAGCTGGAAACAGGGTCGCCAGCCGTGTGCATCACGTGGACTACTGGTCTCGGAGTCGGAGTCACAGTGTGTTGCATCAGTTGTGGTGAAGGCGAAGTGGGAGGAAGCGCTAGCATTGATTTCATCTGCCGTATGTGCCAGGCCAGCGCCAAAAAACATAGAAGCAACACGCATAGGAGCATCACTAGGAGCATCCATGGCAACCACTCAATTAAGCCACCGGATTCTGTCATAATACGGGCGGCGCAGACTTGCGGACGCAGCGGAATTGAACGAAACTAACTACCCCCCTTGGACAAGATGTCACTACTGCAGCATTGCAAGCGAACAGTGGCAGCATTGAACTACTGTGATGAGTCCAGGTCGTTATTTGTCATGTTACGAGTTTTGTGAAAGTTGCTCGATGGTTCACAAAGCTTTCTGTTTGCCGTCGATGTTTCTTTGGTCTGTGGTCGTCTCTACACAACCTTGCGCAAAACACGCTGGTGGTGCTTGCGTTGGAAAACATGAAACATAAGGCAGCTTCACGCGCATCAAGATCAAATCAGATCACCCGCATTAAGATAGTCCTCCTCCTGCGGTTGGAACCGGACAATTTGGAACCCATCGGCGCTGCAATAGGGCCAGGCCATTCATTATATACATGACTCAAAAACACACAGAAAGTAACGTGAGTGCACAATTTTCATCCTGCCTAAGTTTTGGTCTTGGTCACTCTCCGATACCGATCGCCAACGCTGTCACTGGAAAACAAACAACACAGAACACTGGGTTCACAACTTGGCATCGGCATTGGTGTTCTCATCAGATTCGTCAGAATCCGATCCCGAACTGCGTGATTCACTCTGACTCATACCCTGACCCAAGATCAGGGTCGTTGCCTGGCTTGAGGTGGTTGGAGTTGGAATGAGTCCAACACGGAAATGCTTACGGCCGTCACCCAGGTCACCGTGCAAAAGCACGCTGGCGAGGACGCTCCCAATCACTGGCATGGACATCGCGTTTCCTGCCCAAGAAAAGCCACACGCTCACACACACACACCAAGAAGACACACACACAGTGTGCTACAGGCCTGCCAAAAGGCTCCAGAACGAAGGCCTGGTAAATCCTGCAAAGTTCAACTTGTCGAGAGAGAAGCCGTGCCTGCACAGAAGCAAAACTTTGATGTAAGTAGGCTCTAAGATATCGGACTGTGGGTCTAGGTTGCTGACATAGCCAGAAGCTCATAGCCGTGAAGCAACCGGCCACGTTTGTATGAGTAGATTCGGCTATTGGTCGTCAACCTCAAGGCAAGTGCTACAGTGTACGAGTCCCTATCACTATTGTCATCGTCAGGCAAACAAACAAAACAAAACTATCAAAACTAAATTTCTGTTGCAACCCAGTACGAACGTACAAAAAAGAACATAACCGAAGAACTAACTTATGAAGACGAGCCCAAAGAACAGACGCCCAAAAAAGATGAGGCCATTACATTACTTTCGTTTCGCGCGAGTCATGAGTCCTGAGTCATACTAGACAGACTTAGGTCGGCGCGATGGTAAAAAACCAGACGCATTGATTGCCCCTCTATTGTAGCTCTTCACACAGTCCACCAACAACTTCTCCAGATCAACACCTGTGCTGGTTGCGTTCCAATACCGCAAATTAATGACTGCTTCCTCTCTGGGACGGATGGCGCGTTTCCACTCAGACCATTGTGATTGTGCCCACAGCGAATGCCTGAACAAACAAAGTCACAAAATGACATGTTTCTTTGTTTACGGGGTTGCTATCCACAAAGAAAAGCTGGCCTTCCGAATTCGCCGTCATTTGTTGCAACATTTGTTGCAAGCTGGTCGAGGCCCAACACGGACAATTCCTTCTGAATCTCAAATACCTGCGTTGGGGTCAAGGATTGGTAGCTGCTGGGATCGGGATACTCCTGCCAGGTTTGCATATTGCGTTTGTTTGCAAGCGGAAGAAGAAGGGAAAACAAAAAACACAGCAGCCGTCCTCTCTCTCTCTCTCTGTCTGTCTCTCTGTACGTAGGTTGCTTTTGCCCCACGCCCTCTTGACTTTGGTACGCACATCACTCAACAAAGGCAAATTGGAGCACGGCACTGTAGCCAACCCCCAAGCGCAGCTTTACAAGATTCAACTTGTAATGCTTGCAGTACCACTCCACTGTATGAGCTGAGTGAGGCTTTGCGGCAGCAAGACGGCTTGCGCGATTAGATCAGATCAGTGATCAGTGCAATAATCCACCAAAAAGACAAACAGAGTTTGGTTTGCTGCATTGGTTCGTCCGACTCTCACTAAATACTAAAAACACCGAAGGCGCAAACTCTAGCTGCAATCATTGCACCAGGCTACCGGATACCGGCTACTGGGATTTGTTGCTTCGCCGGCCTTTTGCCGGAACCTGCTTGGGCGGGGGCATCTGCGTCGCAGACTTTTCCTGCGGACGTCAATGTAAAAAAAATTGTAAAAAACAAAACAACAGCCCGTACATAAAAACTATAGTGTAGTGTAATGTATTAATTTCTTAATATGAAAAGAAATAAACCAAAAACCGGTCCTTCTGAAGCTTGTCAAGGCGGTCTACCAATTGTTTTGGTAGATTCTTCTTTGGCAAACGCAGCTCTGTTTGACAGAACTTGTAAAATTGACTGACTGTAGGCGCATTTGGGTCTGGAGTTGTTGGAGGGTGTGCGTAGTTCTCCCACACATCTGATCCGAGTAAGAGCGCAAAAACCAAGGCGACATCTCTTGAGGTAGGCTCCTGACTCACAATGCCGCAAAGCTTCTCGTAGAGCTCGCTCACCTTTTGCTGTCCCCTGGTCTTGGACTTGAACTCTGAATCGAATGACTTCGCAATTTTGAAGCTTTCCTCCAGCTCATCCATCACCGGGATGCCTGAAAAAAAAACGGTGGCAAGTGACAAGTGGCATTTGACGAGTTTTTTGGATTGCAAAGAGCTAAGCTTGGTGCGGTCTTTGAGCAACTGCCCTACCTTCTTTGCCTCGTCATCTGACTGACCAGGATCGACTGTCTTTTTGATGATTTCCTCGCCACGCTGAATCAACACAGCTTTCAATTTAATTAAAGTTACCTAAGTTAGCTAGTAGTAGCTAGTAGTAGCTAGGCTAGGCTAGGCTAGTAGTAGTAGCACGCCGCTTTTGCTGAATCACAATTTAGCAATCGAAGGCTTGGCCTCATCCCAGTCCATCACGCCCTGCACGATAGGCTGATATTTCTTGTATGTGGCTTGAACTTGCTCCTTCTCTGCAGACAATCCGTCGGCGATCACACCTAATGCGTCCTCTGCCGCTTTGACCACAGTCTCGATCAATTTGGCGCAATCACCCAATCCATTCACATCGGAAGGGATCTCTTGCAGGTTGAAGGTGGCAATTTGCGCGTACTGCGTGATTGCCTCTTTGCGGCCAGCTTGTGTTTGAACATCCAGGGTCTCGGCTGCCTTTCCCTCTTGCAACGAAAGCATCACGGTCATAGCACGAAGGAAAGAAGATGCCTGGGAATCCAAGAGGGCCTTGCAAACGGAATCCATTGTCTTCACGGCATCAAATTTTCCCTCCCGCAAAAGGATCTTCATCCAAGCGACCTGCAGGTCATTCTTGCTTGGCATGTCAAAAAGCTTGACCAATAAGGATGCGCACTTGCAAACATTGCCTGGTCGTGGTCGCGAATTCCCGCCCCCCCCCCCCTGTTTAGTCCAGTCCAGAATCTAAGGTGAAATAACATATCGACAATGATTCCACTGCAAAGCCAAAAAACAGGCCTTCAGTGTCAGTGTCATTGAAGGTCAGGCGCAATTCTGGAATGGCCTTTGACTGGGTCAATGTGTGCATAGATCGCGCGGCATCAGAAAAGGTTTCGATGGACAGGCTCTGCTCTGCCTTCATCACTTTGGCGTGGGTGTCAAGCAAGTTGGTGAAAAGATCCATGGTGTTCCATAACGTCGCGCACTCATCTTTCTTGCAAACCTCCATGCAGGGTGCGCTTTGGACAAAGGGTGATCTAGGCTGAGCTAGAGTCTAGTTTCAATATCTACCGACAATTGAATAAAATATCGACAACTCGACGACTATGCCTCTGACTTTGACTCAAATGGAATGAAAACAAATCATGGCAAAGGCTAGGGCGACGGTCCACCAAACCCAGCACCTTGAACTGCAGCATCCAAGATTGCAACTTGTTGCATCCATTTGCTGCTGCAAAAAGCCGGACATCTTCAGGAATTGACGTTTTCCAAAACGAATCAGTAAGCTGTTGGCATAGTGAACAAAAAGTGGAAACAGCACTCTCCTTCACCAAAGATTCCTCGTGCATCCACCAGGCTCAGAAATGAAATTAAATAAATCTTCAAATCAATTGGGGCCACTCGGTGACCCCAGCCCGAGCCCCACCCCACTAGCTAGGTTCATCAAGTCACACAAGAGCCAAATAAATAAACAAGTTGTTTATTTAACAAAGGATAGTGTCCACCTTGTCCAAACTCCCCTTGACAGCCATCAACTCCTCGGGCGCATGCTCCGCAGGGAAAGCCTCAATAGTTTTGAACGACTGCAATGCCCTGTCGACCTTGCTCCAAGACTCCTCCACCAAAAAGAAACATGACTTGCCTCATGGCTGGTTCACACCTGTTTGTTTATTCAACAACACAATTGCATGTTGCGTCATACCGTCATCATACCACACCATACGGAGTCATACCGTCTCCTGCTCCAGCAAGCCAAGCAAGGATTGCTCCGAGGCAGCCTTGTCAACTTGGTCTGTGGGGAACTCACGCGCAGCTGCCAAGGCTTCCGTGGTAATTTGAGACATCTCCACTGACCGTTTGCTGGCTTGCTCCAGCTGCTGCCACAAATTCCTCAAAGCAGCTGCGCTGCAGTTGCCGTGGTGAATGTTAGATAGACTTTAAACTTTAAACCAAAAATATCACAAGGGAACCCCGTGTCCACACCAAGACCAAATAAGGCCTCGCCCGCATGCCAACCATTAACCTGCCGTGCTCTGGAAGAAAAAAACATGCTAATGTTACCAGGTAGCTTTGCCGCTGTGTTGCCTCTCAACAGCGTCTGGAATCGTGCACCCAACCGTGGTTTCACATCAACGGCCGCCTTTGCCCGCATGACATCCACAACACAGGCCTGAGAAGAAAGACTTGCAGAGTGAAGGTTTGCAACCTATGAGTCTGAGTTTTCAGTGTTCATGTGTTCTTTCTTGACATCTGAGACCAAGCCCATAATTTGTCTGGTCATATGACACTCTGAACGTGACTCTGCTTCTGATGAGTTACAGTACCAGTACCGTATCCGTTAAGTCACAAACCTCATCCCACTTCATCTCGAACATCATCTTCAAGATTTGGATTTCGATGCAGAACTGGCTCGAAAAGGTTCGATTGCAGCGAGGGCCGACATCACTTGTTTCTGGAACAAAGCCCTTTGGCATGTCCATCAACTCCGTCTTCTGCGCTGGACACCTGGGCACCAATGGTGGCTCGGAATTGAATTGATTCTGATTTGTGGCTTGATACAGCTTCTGAAGCAATGGCAATGGCAATGTAAAAAACAAAATTCGAACAGTTCAATAACAAATGAACAAAACTTCTCACAACGGGGCACCATCCCACCATAAGAGCAATTTTGTCAGCCGCCTTCTGCTTGGATAGCCTCTCATACCATAGCCCCAGCATCTGCTGTTGGAAAGTGCTGCAAATCACAGGGGCCATTACGGTATCACGAGCAGCATGCAAGATCATACCACAGGTCATGTGCCACTGATCAACTTTGTGTTCGCAAGAGGACGTGAAGAAAAACTTTTCTGCTGCATCCTTGCACTTCCCTTGCTGATCAATGCCAAGCTTTAAGGCTTCCGTCCCGATGTGAAGCAGGATTGATGAAAGAAGTGGCACCTCAAGCGTGCTGACCACCTTGAACTCTTCCTCCGTCAAAGGCTGTGTAAGGTACTGGAAAGGGGATGTACGGACAGCAGAAATGACGTCAAACCGTGTTTCGATGTTCATGGACCAATCATCGATTTCTTGGCGGAGTTCATCTGCATCTGGGCAGCCCGTCACTGACAACAGCTGTGTGCACACGCCTGCCAAATTCTTCTGTGTGGCCTCCAATTGCCTGTGCGAGAAAGGCAAAAAAAGTAATCCCAGGTCCCAAACTATAGGCTGACTAGACTGACTAGACTAGACTATGACTCTGACTCTGACTCTAACTCTAACTTTAACTCACTATATGATTCGATATGATATCATGATATGATGTCTGTCTTGTGCTTCATGGTGGCTTCTACTATCTATGTGGCAAATTAACTACAACCAAAACCAGCCTCTTGCGGGGCTTGTTGGCCCAAATGGCATCATCGTTGAAGGTATCCATCGCCTTCTTCAAAAGACCGCTTGCCTTCTGCAGAATTTTGGCTACCTTGTCCGAAAGCTTCGGTTTGGTGGGAGCTGCAGCAGCACCAGTTGCAGCAGCAGGAGCTGCAGGCAAAGCCGGAGGACCATCAGCTTCGAGGTGCGCCCCCAAGTTCTCCGAACTTTTCAACCGGCGGAGCTGTGGGCGTGCATCCTGTCTTTGTTCCTGCTTCACGTTCAGCAAAGATCCCATCGTGGAGACTGGACTCGAAGCAACGGAACAGGGGCTTGGCTGCGACATTTGTGACATTGGGGTGGTGGGCGCGCTGGCACCATCCCCGCTGCAACGCTTGCGAATTTTCTGACGAGTCTGATGATCGCCAGTGTCCGCCCAAGGAATGTCAGAAAACAAAGACGCACCCAGTGGAGCAGCTGGCCGCGACGGCACGTTGCTTTCGTCATTGGTTGCGTTGGCGATCCGCTTGCGACTTTGTTCCAGTGTGCAACTGCTTCTCAGGACAGATGCAAAGCTGTTTGCAGACTTCTCCATCAGCTCCCGACACGCAATAGCATCTCCTTGAACATTGTCTTCCTGCACTGGGTCCACCACAGTGTTTTGGAATTTGATTTGTACTAGACCCATTGCGAAATTGAACACACTCCCCGAAATGATTCAAATACAATAAGTTTAGTCAGACAAGAACAATGCCCCATGTGCTCTCCTCTTCAGTAGCACGGCTTGATGCTTGCCCCACCCGGACGCGCTTCCTCCCATCGTGGTGGTCCAAGACCACAACACCAGGTTTTCCACAATCCCACTGGATTGTCGCGCCCACAGATTTGGCCCATCCCAACTGATCGGTCACCGGCGACGACACTGGACCGTTGACAGACTCAATCCAACTTGCCAAAGGAAGCCACGTTCCTTCCTGATATGTGTCTTGGTACCTCAGATTTAGATTAGTAGATGACATTCGTTGAACATCAAAATTTGGTTAAACAAACTCGAGACATCATATGACTCATTATATTTTAATATGTGCGACCCAAATGCACTTCCTTCTTTGCAGTGGATTGGACATCATATTGCATCGCCTCCACTCGCTTGCCAGAGCAATTTTCGCGCCTTCGCTCGTCCCAAACAGCATTCACTTCCTGGAAAAAAAGAACGGCCCTGCGAAGAAAACGAAAACATAGTGTGTTTTTTTGTGCGTCAAAAATCTCGTTAGCTATTCGCTCCTCGTCAGTCTGCTTCAAATCATTCAACTTCTTCGCAGGCATCTTCCCGAACGTGTTCCAGCGTGTCTTCTGCGCCAGAATCAGGTTGGAATACAGGCAAACAAACAATGTTAATGAACAGAACATTCTGTCTAGATCAATGTCAATAATAAAAAACTATGACTCATGACGCGGCCTCGCAGGGGTAGCATTCAATGCCGTCGGGCACATCACTGCATTGTGTCATTGGGTTCTTCTTGTAGCGGGCCCAGCGAAGAAGGGCTGTGCCTCCAGGAGAATACCGGTCAGGCGCCCCGCAGGCCTGCCCACATGTCCCACAAAGACAACCACTCATCCTCCGCAAAGCAAGCCACAAACGACTCCGCAACGAGGTAGCACGGGCAATGCTTGTCAGTCACTGTCGAACCAAAATGGCTGCCACAGCAATCAATGGTGCATGTACATGCATGTACTCTATTTGCCTTGCACTACAACAAATGGAAACACAAAAAGACGTGACCAGTGAGAAAAAAAAACACGCGGGTGGTCGGGGCGGAGCCGAGATAACACAGAAGCAAGCAAGGAAAAGAAGAGATGGCAAAGGAATGCAAGGGAAAGGAAGGAGGAGAGGGGCGGACTTGAAATGACCGAAGTGGGACGGAAGTGGGACGGAAGTGGCGCAGAAGTGGGATGGGACGGAAGTGGGACGGGAGTGGGACGGAAGTGGGACGGAAGTGGGACGGAAGTGGGACGGGAGTGGGACGGAAGTGGGACGGAAGTGGGACGGAAGTGGGACGGGAGTAGGACGGGAGTGGGACGGAAGTGGGACGGAAGTGGGACGGAGGCGGGGCGGTTAACTAAATAATGGGTGCGACACGCAGCGCTCAAGTGAATTTCAATTGATTGAATCAACGACGACAAGCTGCTCAACTAAACTTACCACCAAAAAAACAATAAATGAGATTATTCACTCACAGAAGCTGAATAACACAGAAGCGGTCCTGGGGAGGAAAGTTGTGCTCCGGACCGTTTGGGCCATGCAGCCACTCGAGAAAGCTTTCCACAGTTGGCCTGCTGTGCAGGTATGGGTCCTGCAAGACCGTTGAGATGACGTGAGCAATCTGGTCCTGCCAAGTGCGTCGAACAAAAGGATTTGGCGGCATTGGCTGGACGTGCAGTGCAAAATATTCAACGACTGCCAAACCCAACATAGACTCTGTCCAGAGTCGCGTGACTGTTTCCCGTGGCTGTTTCTCCGTCTTCAGAGAATAGTTCCGCTCCCACAAAATAGAGACGCCCACGCACCATCGGCAAGCCGAAGTCAGAGGACCTCAATTCAACGACACACAAGTGGCATGTTCCATGATTCTTGAACGTGGGGCAACACACACACAGGGT